CGTCGTCGGGCAACGACGACGACCTGACCATCCCCAGGGCTGCCATCAACAAGATGATCAAAGAAACGCTCCCCAACGTTCGCGTGGCAAACGATGCCCGGGAGCTGGTGGTAAACTGCTGCACTGAATTCATCCACCTCATCTCCTCCGAGGCCAACGAGATCTGCAACAAATCGGAGAAGAAGACCATCTCCCCAGAGCATGTCATACAGGGTGAGCTGCGGGAGGCGGTGTGCTCCTGCCCGCTACGTCACGGCTCCTTCACGCGTTGGGCGGCTTCTGCCCCGGTGCGGCTTTCTCCTCTCTGATTGTGTAGAACCTTGTGGCTTCTTGACCTTCTCCTTGGGGCTGTGTAAAAGACAAAAGGCAGGGAGGGGTCTCTGAAGGGTCTAGAGGAAGAGGATGGGCTGTCTGGCGTGTCAGTGTGATGGCAAGGGAAGGGGCTCGAGCGTGCCTGGGGCCGGCTCTCGTGGTTCAGAGCACTCAGTGATGCCTTGAGTGAAGTCACCAGTCGGTTCTTTCGTACCTGCTTTGTCGGATGCTTGTGCAGATTTCTTTTACAGCACGCTCTAAGATCCGGAACTTATTGAATGCCTTTCTAATTGGAGACTAACAAAAGATGGGTGACTGAGTATGTGGGGGCCTCGAGCGTGCCTGGGGCCGGCTCTCGTGGTTCAGAGCACTCAGTGATGCCTTGAGTGAAGTCACCAGTCGGTTCTTTCGTACCTGCTTTGTCGGATGCTTGTGCAGATTTCTTTTACAGCACGCTCTAAGATCCGGAACTTATTGAATGCCTTTCTAATTGGAGACTAACAAAAGATGGGTGACTGAGTATGTGGGGGCCAGGCTTTAATTAAGAGGCGTCCTGTCTGGGTCCTGTAAGGACTTAAAATATTCCTATAGGGCATTCCATAGAGCCCGATTGTTTAAAATTTAAATTTTTGTATCTGTTGTAGAAAGTAGTCAAGCATGACCTATGCTCTTGCATCTTTTTCTGCTGTTGACTTCCACTTCCCCTGGCTGAAGAAAAGGAGAGTTCTGTCTCTCACTTGCTTTTCTTTAAATCCTGCTATAAACAGGGAGTTTCCCTGCCTCATCCTTAAGTTTGCAACAGGCGTCTTTGTGGTTGTCTGGATTATGAACAGCAAAAGAAAATATGTTGTGTGTATGAGGTTTAATACTACATAAAGTATACATAAACTTGAAAAGTTTAGCAAGACAACTCCATCGCAGAAGCTTAGGATGTAAGTAAAACTTGTGCTTGCATGTGGAAGCACACTTTGGGTGTGATGCTGCTAAATACATGGATAGTTTCTTCAAGGGACCACCAAAGCGTTTGAGCTCAGTTCTTGACACAGGAACAGACATGATCTTTAAGGCTGAGGACAATAAAGAGTTCATGTATGAAAGGATTTCTTGCCTGGTGGTCCTTAGAAAAGATTTCACCTATTGCTGCCCGAGGGTTTGTCTGAGTTTTTGGGGAAGAAATGGAAACCAAAGTATGTGTGTATCATCACGGGTCCCAAACCAAGTATTTTGCTGGGTTCTAGGTCGTCTTGTTACCAGATTTTAGTTGGGAAAAAATGACTTGAAAACTAGATGCGTATCTCTTAGTAAAATATCGCTAAGGAAAACTTTGGAGATGTATCCATTTTTGTAATGCTCCTGAAATGGAAGGAGTAGTTCTTGGTTCTTCTGCTGTTCTTATCTCTAGGGAGGTGTATGTGCTATCGGCTGCTTCCAGGTGCTGCTCAACTGGCAGAAGTTCCCTCTGTGAGTGAGGTATGAGGATTTAGATGGCTGGCTTTGGAAACCATGGTTATGTGTATACAGGTACAGCGTTTCAGCACTGTCATCCCTCTTCCTACGCTCTAGATGCTGGCTAGTGCACTGCCTCTTGGGATAGCTCCATGACAGTGATGCTAACCAATTAAGTAATTTTGGGTGTCTTCTTCCTTTTGGGTGCTTTAATCAGTTCCTTTAGAAGTAAAATGAGGGTGATGGCCGTGGGGTCACACCTGGTCCAGTCTAAACTCGGGCCTTTTTGTCCCCTCTCTGGAGCTAGATTAGGCACCTGCTGATCCAGCTGACCCTGCTGCTTTTTGAGAATCTAGGGGGGAGCACGGTTTTCTGCCAGGTGAGTTTGCTGATCTGACTGTGCCTGTAAACAGGAAGTTGCTAGTTTGGGAGCAGGAAGGGCATTTCACGGGGAGGAGGAAGGCAAGAGAGGCTGCAGTCGGTGACACCCTGCTGTTGGAGCGTAGTAGAGGTGATGTGAAACTGCTCTTGGTGGCTGTACTTCTGTGGGTGGCAGCCGTGGTGCCTCAGGCACCCCTCCCTTTGCCGCACTAGTCCAAGTGCTTGTGTGGCCGCCCGCAGAGGTCGAACTCTTTCCACCTACCGCCATACTTGGGTAGATCTGGAGTCCCCGCCGTCGCACTGTGCGGTAGCACACTTGACGGGCACCGTGCGGCCAGCAGCACGGGAAGGAAAGCTGCGTGCATCCCAGGAGAGGCAGTTCTGCTCAGGCTATGCCAAGCACTTGCTGCTTGCCATAGCACACAAAGCAGCTTCCCTGGGGAGTACCCAAAGGCATCGAGGCTGCTTAATATTCGTAAGTGGAGATAGTCTCTGCGTTTATTGTTGAATCATACTGTCAGGAACCCGGTGATGAGCCTGAGACTCTAATAAAGCAAATGAATATCCTTCCACCCTGGCACAGAAAACAGCTTCATTTGAGAGTTATGTGAGGTGTGATGAAGCAGCCTTTTAATGACAAATTAAACTTCCGTTGAATTCTGAAAATGGCAAGGTGTTAAATCAGCATTTTCTATGAAGCTGATTACTTGGTCTATGTGGAACTGTTGTGCAGTAAGGTAGGCTGTGGGTTGATGGTAAGTCCTGTAGCTTCTTTTCATGGACTGTTAGGATAGTGATTACATTAGCATTTAATGTTAAAAAATCCAAACAACTGTCAGTGTTTGGGAATTTACTTTGGGAATAATTTTTCTTTGAAAAACTTGGATATGAATGACCTGATTATGTAAAAAAACCAAATGTAGAACTAATTATGTTCTAATATTAGAACTGAGTAATCTGAGATCTGCATCTTCATACAGTCTTTAAGACTGTGAGGAAACGGGAAAGGATAGTGGTGATCTGGCATTTGTAAATGAGAAGTTCCCTGCTCTTCCTTCCCTACCCTGTCCCCCTCAAAAAACCTGTGTTTTGGGATTTAGTTGTTCATTGTGATCATTCTGACCGCAGTCATCTGGGTAGACACGTGGATTTGGACTCGAGGAATAGAAAGACTGAGTTTGGGTGGAACGGTAGCTCTGCTGAAGTAGCAATCACTTGTCCCACACTTTAGCACCGTGCTGGTATGTAGGGATTCGTATTCCTGCCACGCATGTGCTCTGTAAAGCCTTGGTGTGTTTCAGCAAGGTAGTGTTCTGAAGTTGTTTCACAGCCAGCGGAGTTTTGGTACGCATGACCTATGGTGGATATATAGTTCTTTGTAGCTTTGTGATGATCAGTGGTTGCACAGCTCTGTCTTGGTTATATCGCACGTTTTATTTTGATTTTTTTTTTTGGTGCTATATTCAATACATAACTAAGTTCTTTCCATTCATTTACTTTCTCTTAAGGGATATTTAACATTTCTGTAAAAACAAGTCTTGCTGTTGACTTCAGATGGGGCAGGTGTTCAGGTCCTGTGGCAGCAGTTTGCCAGCCCTGATCACTGTGGGTGTTCATTTTACGAACACCTGTGTATTTGCGATGATGTTTTGGCGTAGTGATGTTGGATGTGCAGTTTGTAAAGTTTTTTACTTCAGTTTAAAAAAAATGTAATTTTTGATAGTTTACTTTATATACTGATGACATTTTTAAATTGAATGAGTTCTTAAATATTTCTAGATTGCTTAGCTAACCAGTTCTGGACCATGAAACATGGATTTGCCTCCTGCCTGCTGCGGTTGGCTTGAACAAGTTTCTGAAGGTTTTTGGTAATTCTTGTAGAATCTGTGGGCTAATTGCAAAAAGTTTCCAGTGTCTGTGTGTGGGCTGAGGCTGAACTGACATACTGTCTCTGAAGTAATTTGATGATCTCAGTTTGTCTTCCAACTTTATTTTTAAGAAACAGGTATTATGTAAATTTATTTGCCAAATGGTATCTGTTAGAGGAATGGGTAGTCCTGCAGGACTAGACAGCTGTGCTGTGCTGCCCTGTTGAAGACTGTCTATTAATTGTCTCCTTGAGCACTGTTTGGAAGCTGAAAACTTAGAGAAAGCCTTTGAGTTATTTTTCAGCTGTATGGTACAATGGCATGCTGCCCTAATTAAGGGTAGGGGAAGGTTGCTTACGAAAGTAATGGTAGAATATAGTCTGAGTTAATGTAACTAACACCTTGTTATAAAGATGTTGAGTGCTGTTGTGCAGTTTTAGTGCTATTTCTTGGATAACTTGTGAAATGAGGTTGAAATAAAGTAAGATAAAGGATAAACCAACTATCATTCTGTAAAGAAAACTGATTTATGTAAATGCTGGAAATGAAACAGGTGTTCTATTCTAAACAGATTTGTTCTAAACAGATTTGTTTCTAGTATAACTGGTGTTTATGGTTACAGAATATGCTAGAGATATTCCACTCTGAGGGTGTGGGTATGTGTAGAGGCCTGTCAGTAAATGGTGAATCAGGAAGCAATGTGTACCATGTGTCACGTGTTCTACCTGGGTTTTTATAATCCTTGTTATTTTGCATTCTTTTGAAAAACCACTCTCATGGGATATAGCTTCATTTCATGTTTCTTTGGGCAGATAAGAGGGCAAGATTTTAGTTTCTGAATACATTTTCATGTGGAGATAGATAAAAGGGTTTCTGTTGAGAAATAAAACAGTGAAGAGTTCCTACATAATTTTATGTAACTTTATACGTGAGCTATGTATTTTTACATTTTTTTCTCTCAATACCTAAATTCGTATGTCAAGTTCCAAAAGCTAAAATCTAAAGGCCTACATTTAATTATTTCTGCCTTAATGAAGGATTTGTGATTATTTTGCATGCATTGTTTTTGCTGTTATAGGTTGCTAATTTACCTTCTCGTGAAGACTTGTAACAAAACTGGAAAGGCAGAATTCCTGAGATTAAAGATTACAATTCAGATAGGAAAGAGATAATTGTATAAATTCTGCTTGATACTGATATGTAGAAGGTGGGAGTAAGATGCCTTTTGAAGGATAATGCCTATCTCTAGCAACATGTATCTGAAAGTCCTCAATCCGCTGCAAGTGTAGGCTTTTTTGGTTGTACTTGACTAACCTTAATTTTTCTAGCCTGAAAACATGCCCTCCTAAATGGCATAGGAGAAGAGACAGGGAAAATAGCTGTTGGATCTTCTTATGAACACCGATTATTATCACTGGATGACAGAGAAGTGATCAAACCTTTTACTTTTTTTTTATCTTATAAACAAATTGATTTCTATTACGAGAAGCTTTGTAAAAGATGAACAATGTGTTTTCTTTCTTTCTAGCACTAGAAAGTTTGGGGTTTGGCTCCTATATCAGTGAAGTAAAAGAAGTCTTACAAGAATGCAAAACAGTAGCACTAAAGAGAAGAAAGGCAAGCTCACGCTTGGAGAACCTTGGCATTCCGGAAGAGGAGCTTCTAAGACAGCAACAGGAATTATTTGCAAAAGTGAGTGAAGCAATACTTGTATTGATGAGGTTTGAATAATTAATGCTGCAGATCTAGTCTAGTGCCATGAAAACATATGCACACCTCAAGAAGGAAGAATTCACCCTTCCTTGTGAATTGCCATGGCATCTAAGATGCTGTTGAACTTGGCCTGTTTGCACTGGGGAAAGTAAAGTCAACAAATAAGATGCTTCTACTTGTTACTTCCGTGATTTGACATACAGGACTTTGTATACACAAACAAATTCTACACTCTAGGTTTTAAAAGAATGTCTTTCTGCTGCTACCTAGTTATTTCCATTCTACTGTAGAGAATTCATTATGAATTACTTGACTGAGGAAGTAAAATTGCCAGTTTTGATGCATTGAAAAGTGAAAATGTCTTTTCTGTTTCTGGCCATCAGAGCACAAATGTTATTTCTTAGGCTTTGAAAGAAACATTTAATTGTTCAAATTTTCTAATTCATTCCTTCTCATCTTTGGTTACTCTTGGCAAGACTCTAATTGAGTGAATTCATGCATAAATTTTTAAAGAGGCGATTCAGGCATAGGAAAAGCATTTGTCTGCAAACATTGTGCGCACACACACATTCTCCTTTATCCCAGCCATTTCCCCTCCCAGCTTTCCCAGATAGTTTGTGGACATGTCCAGGTTTAAATGGCTAAAAGCCAATTTTATTTATCTTTCTACACCATCTTTCTCTCTACTATTCTCTCAGTTTGACAAGACGACCATTCTCTAAAGTAAGTGATGTGAAAATGATCTTGGGTTTCTCTTTATTTGTACCCAAGGCATGACTCTTATTTTCTCAGATGGCTTTTTTCAATTTCCTCTGGTGAAAAAGCTTACTCAGTTATGTGTTATGTCTGATTACTGCAACCTTCACTCCCCTTTGCTATACTTGTATCTTGCTGAAACAATTAATAACTTATTTTTCATAATACAACATGACAACTATTTTAATTGCATAATGAAATTTATTTAAAATTTCAGTATACCCCATAGCTATTGTCAGCATGCAGTGATCTAGTTATGATAAATTCATATATGCCTAACTTTTGTTTGACTGTACTAACATTAGAAAGATCAGTATGGCTGCTTCTGGGTTAAGGGTGAGATTTACAAATAATAGTTATTTTGATAGCTGTTTTTTACTTACTGTTTTATTCTAGTAACTTAGCATGGTATACAAAATAAAAAATCAGCAAATAGAATCCTAGAATGGTTTAGTTTGGCAGGGACCTTAAACACCATCT